CCAAGCTTATTACACGCATTACACGGCAGCTTATCCGACTTTCGATGACAGGGTTTTATTCATTTCTGTTGTGTGTGTGTGTTTCTGGATATATACGTGTATGTATGTACATTGAATCCTTTCTAAATTAATAAAAAAAAAAATAAATAAATAATAAAAAAGAAGAAAGAAAATAAAAGAGAAAAGACTTTCATTTATGTTCACTTATGATTATTTTCATAAATAATTCAAAGTCGATTTTATATTCCAGCATTAAAATTTACGCTTATATACCGTAAGCGTGTAACAACTCTCTTGTGCCCATTTGAATTCTATGTCTGATGGATTGGTTCTGAACTCCGTCTAGACACGAGTCGAGCGTAAAAAACCACTCGAGAGTTCTCTATTATATTACAAGTAATAGCACGCTGGCTAAGCCACAGAGCTTCGCCTACTCCCGCGGGCGACATAAATTCTCGTGCGATCTAAATGTCACGTGCATATAACCGTTCCACCTCCTTTATGACGGAGATCAATTGATTAAATGAATATTAAGCGCACGAGCGTTACGCACCGGGTTTTCGCTGATATATCGTTCTCGAATACATTAAAATACAATCAAACATTTCCTTTGTCAAGTGAAAAGAAAAGAGAGTTACCCTTAGTAAAATCATTTCCAAGAACCGCGGCGGCGGAGATTTTCTCTCTCATTCATTGTTATCTCGAACGTCCACTTTCGTCGAATAATGTCGAGAGAGATTAATGAAAAAACGAATTCAACCGGTTCTCATTATATGTATATCGCTTCGAATTAGGCGACACGCCTTTAAAAAAATTCCGAGAGTTGCCGTACGGGCAACTCACGGGGGCGACGAGCCTTTATCGAGATGCCCCCGTATACCTCGGGGATGGCCCCATGATAATAAGATTTCATTCACGATAGCGTTCAGCTTTTGCTACCAGGACCTTAATCACACTTGGACATATTGATGCATGGACCGGTCCTCCCTTGCCCTTACTCTGCATTAATGACAGGTTTACGCTCTGACGAGACTGCAGCCTTTACTCGCTCATTGAAATTTCGATCGATTCTTTTTTACGCAGCTCCTCGCTGTTACAAAAAAAAACACACACACACACACGCACGCACCACTAAATATGCCAATAATTTATGCAAATTTATCTCTCAACTTTGATTACAATTAATTATCTCAGTATTATTTTCCCGATAAGTAGTTTTTTATTTATCTCGACCGCGCTGAGTCACATCTTGCGCTGCCTTGGAGTAGCAAAAAAATTTTGCTCGATAACTACCGAATTGTGTATCAGTGATCATTTTTTTCTCGCCCGACCGTATCTGTTCGCAGCGAGAATTTGATGACGAAACAACAATATATAGTTGCGAGCCGAAATTATACAGTTCGAATTAAATAAATATCGAACTATTAGTTACGACTAAAACTTGTTGAATCGGTGCGATCTGTTCTCTCATCGAACAAAAACAAAAAAAGGAAAGAATCAAATTGGCTACAAATAATTTTACGAGCGTAAAATAATACCAACACACGTAGCGTTAACAATCCCGTTAACTGTAATTGCAAAACATTTTACAATTTTATCATGTTTAGATATAAAAAAAAATACGGATATATATGTGTAATGAAGCCTGTGTATCATGAGATTGGAATGTTTCCTCCTGCAGTTATCTTCGCGGTATGATTGCTGTAGTTACGAATAATAAGTATGATTCAATATACTCGAAAAGAGAGTTTAGTCGCGAACGTTAATTGCGAACTGTGTGTGTGTACGGTACTTTATATCCAGAAGACGGGGAAGAGTCTGAACTAAAACACGTACACGTTGCACGTGTCATTATTAGGGAGTGTTGAGTTAGTCGCGTCAAGTCGATCGCGAAGAAGAGGAATTAATCATCTTATCGCGTACTACTATTTCGCTTACATCCTTTCCTCGGAATCGTCCTTCGATTCTATCCGTCGCGTCGCGCGATCTTTTATAATTCTCGACAACCACCATCGAGATCGAAACGTTTCTTCGGGGCATAGCGGCAGTTCGCTGTAGTCATTTAGACTCATTGGGCTGCAATCGATTCACTACGGAAATTACTCCTTACTTAATAATCCCAACTAATCCCATATGCTTACATGTTTTTATCGACCGGAACGTGTAGCTGTGTCGTGAATTAATCAAGTCTGCGAGGTTTCGTTCGGTACCTGTAATTATATCTAACAAGTTTATCAGATTATTCTTTAGTGGAACAATAATCGTACAATAAGTAACAATAAATAATGTATGTTATATTTTATATTTACGCGCGCATATAAAATATATATATAAAAATACAAAGTGTTTGAAAAATTTTGACGCGTCCGAAATGTGAAGATTAGATCAATCGGAGCAAAAATCTTGTTTCCGTCATCCAGCAAGACACAGATGATAACGTTTCTTGTTGTCTCGTGAAAAAAAAAAAAAAAAAAAATGATATCAATCATTCGGCTCTGCTCCCGTTCTTTCTTCTAATTCCGGGCTCGTCTCGAGCTTTAATGCAGATAGAGGGATGTGGCAGCGAGAAAACCGCGTGTAAACTGGCCTTTACTTGAATGGGACACGGCTATTGCTCCGCGCCGCGGCACGTCCGCGGCACGTCGTACGTCCGAGAGAGTTACCGCTAATCTGTACTTACGCTCGGCTGGTGTTGCCTCCGTGCTTACACGAGCGGATCAGCCTACAAACGGGTATCGGTTGATCGAAAATTCAAACAATTACAGCCGGCTCATTAGTCAGCAAATAGCGCTTCTTCCAATCGGCCAATTTCTTTCTCCCACCTCGTGTGCTTCGTATCGGCAATTTTATACATTTATAAATTTGGCGGAGAAAAACCAAAACACGTGAGATTATAGCGTCATATACTTGGGAACATGAAGTGCTAAAATGTTCTTCGGCGCAGAACGTTGTAAAAAAAAAAGAAGCGTAAGGGAGTTAAACTTGTTTAACACGTTCACACACATACTCACACGTCACAGCGAACATCGGTGACCTGAACTTTCCGTTTGCGCCGTGTCAGACACCGTTGGTCACCGCCAGCAAGCGGTTCAAAACTAAAATAAATACTCGCGACCACCTGTGCGCAATTTAATTAATTGTAAGTTGTGTCACAAAATTACAATTGATAACAAAACTTACATATCAACGAACACATGTGTATATACATATAGTTGAACAATGTTTTATCTGCGAACTTTCAGATTTACAAGCGAGATAGGGATGTTAAACTCGAAGAAATCTGAAAGTACATTAAAAGAAAATTTTATCGCGATTTAGCATCGACAAGCTTGAAGCAATATTCGATCGTAATTGCGTGTAATATTGTTCCGATAAGATGACAGTTCGTATCTCGCACTAGTGTGTCAAAGGAATTTCCGTTGGTATGCCATCTACGCCACGACGCGCGGTAATCGACGCGGTAATCGAGGGTACTGAACGTTGCCCGGAGGATTAACAGCTACTGAAAATTTTCGTAACTTGTTTTTTTCTTCTTTTTTTTTTTTTTTCTACCGCAATTTTTTCTACGCTTCGATGTCGCGTGACGTTTTTTTTTGGAAATGTCTATCTAGATCTTTCGGATTTGAAACTTTTTTTTTTTTTTTTTTCTCTCAAAGATGTGCTGTGCTTTTGATAAAACGACGGAGCTTTGCACGGAGCGTGGAGAAATAAGGACGCGTAAACGCAAAATTGCGAATAGAGTAAAATTGCGGAGTAATTTGCGAATCCCCTATCTCCTTTGCGGAAGTTTTACTGCTCTCTGCATGAATAACGCTACCGCCGCGGTGTACGTGACCATGCACTATCGTTCGAAACGACAAATTAACATAGTTCCTCAATTTCTGCATCTTTATCATTTCTATTTCCCGTTTCTCTTCTTGAATCGTTTTCACCGCAGCGAGAAGTGCCCAGGCCGTCGACGTCTCGTGCCGCATTCTCGCTTTTTTGCCACGTTGCAGCAAAATTTCTACGATTTTCTCGGACGGGATCCAGCGGATAAACACGCGCGCTTTTTTGCATTTTCCCGAAATTGGATTATCTTCTACATAGACTAGTTCTCTTCTTTTTTTTTATACATATTTTTTTTTTCGAATATTACAATCTCGCGAGATTAAGAAGAAGTTGATCAAAATGACTTCACACACGTCATTGAATGACTTCAATTATATATATTAAAAAATACCAAACCGTGATCGGAAAAATGTTGTCGAAAAAACACGTATAAACAAATGGCGATTCGAATTTGTCAATTATTTAACACCCCGACATTTTTATCTGTAAATTATTAATTAAAGTTTAAAACGCACAAAAAGCTGCTTTAATAATAAAGCGACACACACGGATATAATGTATCCGTGAAGGAAATGACCACGTGAAAAGCTGAGCGAGTCACGCGACATGCCGTTCCCGATTGTATCGTACGCGGTATCGGGCAGTAACTATCATAATAGCGAAAACAATTCCTTTTCCTTCACCGCCGGCATAACGGTAGCAAAGCGGAAGCTGAAAGTAACAAGTTTTTGACCTTCATCATCCTCCTTCGAGATACGGCGAGATACGCATGTGTATCACCGTAAATATATCGTTATCTGTTTCTTCGTTAGTCTTTATGAACTGTGATTGCCATTTTTGATTCGTCTATATTTTCACCTCTGTCCTGATTTTGACACATTTTCACCGCGATAACCTTGAATTAATACCCCGAAGGCGATACGAGCTGCTGTAAAAGAGACGCGCGTTGTGGAAGAAGGTCGAGTGACGGTGGCGATAATAGTTAGCGGTGGACGAAGACGCCGAGGATGGCTCAGCACGAAGAGGAAGACGGTGAACAACGGGCGAACGGGGAGGGAGAGAAAAACAGGAGTAAAGAGAAAGAACGAGAGGGAGAGACCGGTGATGGCAGCGATGATGACGGTCAGTGGTTGTGTATACCGGTTAAGCCGTTCAGTGCCAGTCCGGCGTCCGTCACGGGTAAACCTCAACCGTTCGAGTTTCGATCTAGCCGTCGTGGCGATCAAATTTCTCGTATCTGTTATTTATTTTCACCCGTGCTCATCGATTTGTCGCCTCGAACGAGAGAAACGTCTCGCCTACTCTTCCGGTTAAGATCCAATTTCTTCAAGATCGGTCCTATCCGATCCGGCATCACGAGGGCTGTAAGAACTAATGTGCGCCAAATCCAGTCCGAACAATCATCAGCTGTGACGCAAAATGATGATGTGAACGAGAAACAGTAGTATTTTATTTTTCTTCAAGTTGTTCGCGACGCAGTTGCTATACGCAGAGATGGTGGGAAACGTTTGCAGAAGACTTCGATGCTCGGTCTTGGAATTGTTCAGTCTGAATCTCGTGCGTTCCTAATTTAACACAGTGCGGTCAGGCGAATCGACGATGCAATGAACGCCAGTGATTGGTCATCCCAAGCTCCATTTAACCGACCTCTTCAGCGTTGACAAATCCTGTTTCGCGAACGTTTATCGAAGAAAGAGATCCGCGATATAATTTTGTCTCACACGTATTGCCAATAATAACCTCCCGCATTAAAAAGTGTATTCCGAGTCGAATACACGGTTATTCAGTAGTTTCATCAAGATGACGAACTGAATTTCGGCGAATCGCTTTCCGAGCGGTTCCGAGAAAAAAATCAAATACCGATCGATCCACATCGTGAATCACGGTGAGTCACGATGATGGTTTCCATGCCGTCAGAAACTCGTGGCTGTCGTTGTGCACCGGGGTACGAGATTAGTCACGAGGATGCGTTGATTCCAAGTGAGCGTGGATGAAGTGATTAACAGGGTCTGGTGGTTTGCCAAAACGCGTGCGGACCAGCTCTCGGTCCGAGAGAGATCCAGGTATTTGTTCCGTCTAAACCCACTAATTATCTCATATATTGCCCCTAATAAGAATTACCTTTTATTTTCTCAATGTGTAAATAATAAAATATATTTTGCTCTTTATTGACGCTGATATTTGTTAAGTTTTATTCGCAACGAAATATTTATTTATATAGATAATAAATAAAATAAATATATTTAAAAAAATATTACTTGGGGTACGCTATGTGTATTTGTATTGTATATACATGTGTTATATTTATATATACGTGAAGCTCTTTTTGATTATTCAGAATATACGGATCAGTCAGAAGTGACCTAGCCACAGTTCTTCGAAGGTTAATCAAAGTTACATACAAGTTATTTGTTTTAATCACGTTACTAATATTTACGTGCTGATAACAAATATATTTCATGATTGTTACAGCATATTTTTTATATTTTTTATATTACTTTTACATATCTTATATTACTTTTGTATATGTATATTGAAAGATATATATATATATATATATATACATATATATACATATATATATATGTACACAAGATATCAACTATTGAAAATCAAAATAAAACGACGAAGCAGTTTTGACGTGCCCGTCTTAAGATCGCAGCGAAAAGTCGCACGTAGCGTTACGGGTAGCCGCGATCGAGAGGCGTTAAAGTGTATGTTACGGCTGCTGTGATCTCTATGTGCAGCTGCTATGATCTCCGGTGGTCGTTGAAATACCGTCACGATGTCGAACGTGACTTTGGCGAGGATATCCACGGCTATCTGCGAGGAGTCGTACGTGTATGTTCCGCATAGTGTCGATAGCGCGCGATTTCCAGTTATCCATTACCGTTGTCATACTTCCGGAATAATACTTACGCGACTCCGACGTCGCGTCCGTCATTCGTCGCCTGAATTACGGACTTCGTAAGCAACGGAGGAGAGACAGCGGATTTCACTTTAACGTGCAAACGGCTTGTTTACCGATTCTTTTCACACCGTAGTTACTGAAAAGAATTTTTTTTTATTATCACACTCTCCGAGAGGAGAGACATTACATTGAAATTTTTCTTCGGCTAATATTTCTTTTTAATTTTAACGAACGTAGTTCGTTTTTCATAAAACCACACGTTTCAGAATTATAAAGCAAAAAAAAACGTCTAACATTATTTCTTCTTTTGAAATTAAATATTTTTTTGCCAACATATTTGAGGCTTTGATTCCTTTCTCGTATGTCCAGTTAAGATTGTCAAATATAAAAAAAAAAAAAAAAAAAAAAAAACATTAGTGCAGTCTTGACATTCAACACACATCGGAAAGCAATTAATACATCGAGTCCCCTACAAAATTCTACTTTTTCGCGGCAAGTCGTGTCGGATTGCAATCGAATCCGTGTCGGACCGGTACCCGGCAATAGTGTGGCGACCGTTCGTCTCCTCCTCGTGCGCTTTTATCGGACTGCCAGCGCTGCTACTCGTTCCTCGCTCGGCTTCCTCCATACAACGGGATGCTTAGACCTTGAGATTATGGAAGCGCATCAGACGGATAGATGAACGAACCGTGTTCCTACCCGCGTTCCACAGGAAACATCCCAAAAAAACGCGCGTCAAGACATATCGCGCCGTGCAAAAACGGAATTTATTTTTCGACCTATCGCAATGTCCGGTCTCGATGAAGAGATTGTATTGTCGTGCGTTGAGCAATTATATTATCGATAATTATTTAGTCACAGCACCGTGGTCTTTGAGTCTATACATAATGTACGCTCGTAATTTCGTAAAAAGGGAATCGCGCGAACGAACATTTCTCGCGTCGCGTTCGGATTTGCTCCAATTCGTGGCAAACATCATCGCGTCTATCGGACATTGCGTCGGTCGTCTCTCGAAACGTGTGTGCGCAGAAAATATATTGCGATGTATTTCTGAAACATCGCAATAACGTCTCTCACACCGAAAAGCCTACCGTTTCTCCTATACCTTCCCATAGCAACGTTCGGAACCGAGAGAGAACCGAATATTCCTTTGCGCGAAGCTGCAAAGCGTACTTTACGTTCTGTTACCTCTCCCTAATCATCGTTCATTTCCTACGAGAACTGTTACGCCCGCTCATTAAACTTACCATAGCCGCTCGAACGTGTACTAGAAAAAAAGACATAAATTAAATTACTCCAAGATTAAGCGCCGTATGTAGAACCTAATTCACATGGAAGGGTGGTGCGTGTAATCAAGAAATTGGCGAGAAATTTTCCTCGATTCTCCCAGCGTTCGCTGCTCCTTGCCACGATTTTATTTTGTTGCGTTGATGATCATTCACCCGTAACAATTGAAATAAAATAACTGCGATATCGCACTCCCGGCAACAGATTGCCATAACTTCTCGGAAGCGAATTATTTTAGATAACAATTTTACAAAAAATATCTGGAAAAAAAGTCAATAATCGCGCGCGCGCGCGCACACACAATATATTTTATTTGCAAAATTTATTAAAAACCTAGTATATATGATGTACTAATCTCAAATATTTTATGTTCAACTGTGTCTACATTACGCGTATATATTTTGTTGACAAAACCGAAAAAATCAGTAGACTAAACAATTTTTTTCTGCTAGCCATGTAATAGCAAAACTTTTTCGTCCGTGGATGATGTAAATTGATATGAACTTTCTTCTGTCGTACCCGAGCTCGTCCCCGAAGTTCGTTCCCTTATTTTAGTCACACTCTGTATATACAGAGATATGTGTAAAAAATTGAAGACACAGATTTTATCTGTGTGAAACAAGTTATGCAAGTTCGATATATATTAAAATTCAATAAACTGAATTTTCTATCTTTAGTTGAAACTTTTTCTCTTCTGAAATGTAAACGCGATATAAAACGTTTTTTTTTGTAATATCTTATTTTTAATGCACGATCGTGCACAGCGCGGCCGAACGGAACGCGAACGGGTCGCGCGAACTTGTTACGAGCGAGAATCTTGAGATCTATTTGCTGTCGGATGAGAACGATTAAGAAGAAATGAGAGAAGACGAGTAACTATGATGACCGCTAGTCGCGTTACGGAATATTTCTTTGAAAGGTGACGTGAGAGAGTTGGAAACGTGAGTTTATCGCATGGAATTGTTTTCCTCTCTCTTTCTCTCTCTCTTTCTCTCCAGGGACTCGAAAGTAGCGAAATAACAGTCTAAACAATAGACAACGTCTTTTAAACCTGAAACAAGACTCTCTTCAGTTTTCACATTGACTTCGCATTCATTGTATGTCACATCACATTACGTCGCGCGATTTACTCAATTACTCGAGAGTGTGTGTATTTAAGATTTATTATCCACCACTCTTGTATCTGTGATATGCAAAGAGCTAACCAGATGCAATATGTGTTTTCTTTATAGCTCGCGACGTGTCGATATATTTGCGTGTTTATAATTATTATAGAGAGCACAAAGAGACAAGTTTGACTTATAAGGTGTACACTGTCTCTTCTTACAAATAGTCGTGTACACATGTCACGCGCATTGCACGGCACGTGCCCGGAGACTGTGAAGTTAACAGAGGGGAGATCCTGTGTGTGTGTGTGTGTGGGCATTACGAAATCTTGCCACGACCGTGAATGCTAATGGACTCACACGTGGTTGATTCGCCTTTTAAGCCAAAATGTTAGTAAATACCACGGGAATCCATATAAAAAACTTGAGTAAATTAAACGTCACATAATGTTTTCTCTCGCACTTAATTTCATCTGCTCGATTGAGCGAGTCAGGTGTGAATTCGACAAAATATAAATTGCGATCGCCCGCGGTCATCAATATTCATTCAGTTTGATTAACGTCGATGTGACGTATAATAAAATAGCGATTCGAAAACTTTCCACGGAACCTAACGAGATAACAGTATACTTTTTATCGCTCGAATCTACGAGTATATATACATATGTATATATGTATATATGTATATATAGATATATTTTATATATTATATAATATTCTCTCGCGAGTTCATTGATTTAATTTAATTACGAAACGTTCTTTATCGGAACGAAAGGAATCCGTAATATTCTCCGTTTTAGACTGTTTCTTACAAACCGTAGCTCTGACGTGGCTTTTTTTTTTCTGTACTATATCGCTCTAGCGGTCAAGATCGATAAACGCGATTTGAGATCCGCGATCACTGGGTCAGCCGGCACTTCTTCTTGCTCGTCCTTGGTTCTGCCTCATGTGGCAGCGACCGCAGCTGCCGCTACCGGTAGTGAGAGAAGTCGCGGCCAGTCAGCGACAGTTCTATATTCTGCTTCTTGACCTTGTCCCAGAGCAGCCTCTGGTGCACAATATCATCGTCTTGTCGAGTGTATACGGAATAGATCGATTCATAGATTTGATTTTTACAACGTATCGGCCAGATTTTCGTTCAATTAATTCCATATATTTTAACGTGTACTTCTACACGTGACAAATTTAAAATACAAACGTAGGCATAGATATGTATATCCGAGAGAGAAAAAGAAATATTGTGCTTTTTCGAATCATATATTTTACTCCTACGCGTCTATTTTCCGCATTCAGATATCGAGAAAGTTATTCAACACGCGCATCTACACAGTTTGTCCGGAAAGTTCCCGGACTGATTTTTTCTAGCGCGGGTAAGCGGCGCTATCGAGCGGTCAACGCTGGAACTACTT